CCTCATCGTAGTACCGCATCGAGGCTTGAGAATCTGTGCACCGCGCGGGTCGCAAGCGAAAGGTACATCTTCTAGCACGCCTAACCACGGACCCTGCACCAGCGACAGCACAGATCCGAACAAGTGCGTGCCTAGGACACAGCCTGTGCCGCTTAAGATCCATAAGATGCAGCTTTCACTTGTGCCTGGGCCAAGGCTTCTCCACCTGGAGCTGGCCGAGAACGACAAGTTCATGGCAGGCCTCAATGCCTCGACTATTCACTATTGCAAGAAAAACACGCGAAGCTGCCAAGTCTTTCGCGAGAACCATGTACCACCATGTGAAGCGAAATGGACACCCGTGGATTCACTTTCGCTGACATGTGCAAGGAAGCCGGTCCGTTCTCCCAGGTGATCCACTCGAGGCAGCTGCTTCTTGGAGCATCTCCATGGCTTCGCCCCAGTGCCTCAGCTGGCGCTTCTCTGATTGAGGGCCGGGCCCATCACCTGGGTGCGGCGCAGGATGCAGGGCGGCCCAGCTGGAGATGGCATCTTGGGGGCCTCAGGACTGGGGGATCCAAAGTCGCAGAGTCACTGCGAAGGTCTCCGGATCCCACCTCTGATGGGTACATTTGCCTCACCACTTTCAACTCCTCGGCGCACTCCTGCACAATGGGAAATGCAAGAACCCAGAGGAGGGACGACACGGCTCGCGCTCATCTTCCTCCTCCAAGGCCTGGAAAGCGCCAGACAAGGTCTCGTGAATGACCTCAAATCGCACCAGCAGAGGAGACCGGACTAGTGACTGTGCACTTGACTCGCTTCACTTGGCCTGAATCACTTCGTTGTAGTGCCACATGATTGGCATCTCGAAGTCCAGGCCTCTGGCAGTGCTGTCGCTGCTAAAGGCACCCTTGAGACTTCTCGAGGCCCATGCCGGTGAATTCGCACAGGTGTCGAGGGGTGTTGGAGTTCTCCGCACGGAACACGGGACCAATCTGCGAGCCGCATGCTGTCTCAACCTCTCGGTGATCTTCTGACAAAACGCCTCAAACGCACCCGGCATGTCTGCTGAAATGGCCATCTGCTTGTAGAGCTGCGGCGACCTACCAGATGCGGGTCGCCACGGTCGCGATGGAATTCCCAGTCTGGCTCCTTCCGGTCTTTGAGGACCGGGCTGTGCCAGCGACGCCTTGGACCCGAAGTAATCCACGCGGAAAACCTCCAAGAAGCTGTAAAGTATGGCTCAGATGTTTCTGCGATGCTCTGATCGCTCACCTCTGCACCCCCCTCGCTCTCCCCAGCAATGAGCTTCGGGGAGTGGATCCTGAGCTACATTCATCAACTATACCTATCTCTCGCAGCCAATGCTTGCGGGTGGAGGATCAAAAAACATTTAAAAAGCATCAAAAACAAATTTAGTTTGAACGGATCAAAACAAATTTAGGAAGGATCAAAAAAAAACTTAGAGTCTGGGGATCTGCTGCAAACAATAGCACGGCAAGTGCTATTCCAATATTTCCGCGTCGAAACTGTGCGAAACTATGGCATCAATCCCAGAAAAGTGGGACCGCGTAGAGGCCAGAGTTGCTGGCCATGGCTGCGTGCGCTAAGCAGCCTTAGTTGCCAGGATGAGATTCCAATAGTTCAGCGTCGGAATTTTGCGAAGCTATACATGGTGTCAAAGCTACAAAAGCGTGGGGTCCGAAACTGTTTGAGGAGTTTTTTTTTTTTTCGGGGATTGTTTTTTGTTTTTCTGCTTTTTGGTCTAAGGGGACGGGAGGGAACGGGGGGAGGGAGGGAGGGAGGGCGGGAGAAAGGGAGAGAGCGGGAGAGAGAGGGAGAGGGAGAGAGAGGGAGAGGGAGGGAAGAAATGGGGGGAAAGGAAACGAGGTTTGCATGGAAGGTAGGACAAAAACGCAAGCACACGAAGAAACAAGCAAGCAACCAAGAACTCGAGGAAACAAAGGGAAGAAACGATATAA